GTGAACTGGAACATTCAGCTGAAGAAATTACCCAGAATGCAGCACAGAGAGGTAGGAAGATGGCAAATACAAAAAGAAACTAAGAAATACAGAGAACAGATGAGGAAAAGAAATATTTATTTGAAATCCTAAAAAAAGGCAGTAGAGAGAATTGAGGAATGAAATAATCGAAGAGATAATGATTGGTAAATTTCTATACCTGATCACAGGTATAAATCTATTTTTCCACATAGAGTAAAAGAAACCCAGGTATAAATACAACATAGTGAAATTAGGTTGAAACTATAGTGAAACTATAAACAGCAAAGACAAAAAGTTTCCAAAAGAAGCCAGAGAAGAACAGATCATCCATAAACTTACAATAGCGATGATGAAAATCAGAACAAATGGAATAATATTGTCAAAATATCAGTATAATATTGTAGACCCAACCTATTTTTAAAGAATGAAAGTGACATAAAGAATTTTCAGGTAAACAAAAATAGAGTTTACCACCAAGAGACCACCATTAAAATAACTTCTAAAGATTTACTTAAGGAAGAAGGAAAGAGTCATAGAATGATGGTCTGAGATATGAGATGGAACGATAAGTAAATAAAATAGCAAATGTATATATATAAACAAACATCTGTGTAAAATAATAGCCTGGAGAGGGGTGACCAGATTTAAAGTGTCTTGAGGTCCTCGAATTGTACTAAGGGAAAGTTTAAGATATTAATTTAAGCCCTGGCTGGTGTAGCTCACTGGATTGAGCCAGGCCTGTGAACCAAAGCATCATGGGTTCGATTCCCAGTCAGGACACATGTCTGGGTTGTAGGCCAGGTCCTCAGTAGGGGACACATGAGAGGCAACCACACAATAATGCTGCTCTCCCTCTCTTTCTCCCTCCCTTCCCTTATCTCTAAAAAATAAATATTTAAAAAAAGATATTAATTCAAAGCTTTGTCTATTACATATGCATGGTAAATGTCAAAGGTAACACTAAAAGAACAGAAATTGAACACATAAATTTCACATGGATGAAAAATTAAAGGACAGACTGCCTGTTATTTGAAGAGGCAAAATCTAGCTATGTGAAGTTTACAACAGACATCTAAAATTAAAGAACAAGGAAAAGGACTTAGGAAAAGGACTTGGGGAGAGAAAGAGAAATGAGGAGAGAGAGGGGGGATAGGAGAGGGAGGATGAGGGAAAGAGAAAGGATGAGAAAAGATGTATCATAAATATCAATTAAAAGAGAACTGGCACAGTTACTTTAATTTTTCACAAAACAGATTTAAGACAAAAAGCAGTATTGGTGATAAAGAGGGCCACTACTTAACATAAAGATTAAAATCATCAGAAAGAAAATAAAATAATTATAATTTGTATGTGCCTAATTAAATAATCTCATATTATAAAAAGCAAAAATGAAGAGTTTCAAGGTAAAATGAAGAAATCCAGAATTGAAGATACTTCTTGTTTTTTTCCTGAAAAATCATTAAGTGAGTGAATACAAAACTGCTAATAACTACATTATCTATCAACAATTGAATAAAAAAAAACAAAGGAAGGAAACAGGCAGAACAAAGACAGAATCATAGATACAGAGAAAATGTTGACAGTTGCCAGATGGGAGGGGGGTTGGGGGCATGGGTGAAAAAAGGTATAAGGATTAAAAAGTACAAATTGGTTGTTACAGAACAGTCATGGGGATGTAAAGTACAGCATAGGGAATATAGTTAATAATATCCTGAGAACTATGTATGGTGTCAGATGGGTAGAGATTTATTGGGATGATCACTTAGTTATGTAATGTCTAATCACTGGGGTGTACACCTGAAACTAATAAAATAATGTATGTTAACTATAATCAAAAAATAAAAATGATTTTAAGCCCTGGCTGGCGTACCTCAGTGGATTGAGCGCGGGCCTGCGAACCAGAGTATCGCGGTTCGATTCCCAGTCAGGGCACATGCCTGGTTTACAGGCCAGTTCCCAGCAGGGGACACATGAGAGGCAACCATACATTGATATTTCTCTCCCACTCTTTCTCCTTCCCTTCCCCTCTCTCAAAAAATATATAAATAAAATATTTAAAAAATAAATAAAAAATAAAAATGATTTAAAAATGAGGGAAAGTGTGAGTGAATACATTCACAAGATAACATTTGTATTGCTTGTGGGATTAAAGATAATTTTTCTCCATTTTTAAACTTTTTTTGATTGTTGTAAAAATTTGTATAATTAAAATTTTTTTTTCCAAAAATGAAGTATGGAGGTGAAAAACTTAAGTTAATTGAGGGCAGAGGGTGGGTTAATTATGGATTTACTACATTTTGGGGTAGTTATATGCTACAGTTTAGTTCCTACCCCAGTGTTTATTAGTTTGAATACATTTTAACAACCACAACTTAACTTTTTATATCTTTGTATTTTGCTAAAATGTCAAATGATTTACTCACCAGATGATTTACTTGAACTTAAATGGCTCAAGCATCCTCCACTGATACATTAAAGAATCTGATTTACCACCTAGTGTCTGTTTCAAAAATAAGAATAAAAGAATTTTGAAACAAATGCACAACAATGCACTCCAAATTTAAATGTGCTATTACTGATTGTTAACGGCTTCATCATTCTGGATATCTGCTTCTGCCCAGCCATTACTATTAACACTGTGGAGATCGGGTACCCTTAAAAAAAGTGAGAAAGATACAAATTGGTCATTCTTTTTCTTATATTGATACCCCCTTGCACTTAATTTTTATTGCTATTCCTAAAACTGTATTCTACCTTTATTTAAACCTTTTGAAACATAGTGTGGTAAGCAATAATTGTATGAAATAGGAACAGATCTTTGTATACAAATAGAAAATAAAGCAAAATGTTACAAGGCTGGTTCTAAAGAAAACAGGCACAGGATTATTTTATAATAGTAATGAAAATGGAGACTCTCTTTGAGTATCATCTAAAAACCTAAACTGTAAAACCTAGTTAGTCTATTATATAGAATATATTTCTCATAGTTGTTTAAATTTTACTATGTTGGAAAAGTAAAACAGTAATTTTAGAATGCACTATTACATTTTGGAAAATATTAAAAAAGATAGAAAATTCTTATAAATGTTTTGCCCAATAGATGTATTTTACGATCTTTCGAGATTTGAATATCCAGAATATTCAGGTGGTCTAATGCCTTTTCTGTTTAAAGACAACAATAAAAGAATAAGAATGGAATGCAATTATTTCCAACTCTTTGATAAAACAATAACAAGGCAATAGTCTAAAAATGAAATCTTAAAAACTTCGGAGTACGTTAAAGATAAAATGAATTTCAAAATATACTTCTTTAAATTATCATTTTATTATTCTTCTTTCTTCTCATTATTGGTGTTTACTGTTTAAATTTACCAAAAGCACAAATCACTAACTGTACAGTTTGATAAATTCTCACAAAGTGAACATATCCATGTTATTAGCACACTATAACTTAAAGGTAATCAATTGCTAAACTTGAAGGATTAAAATCATTAACAACCATTACAAAAAGGCATAGTAGAACTAGTACGTATAACTAAATCAGGTAGGAGGGCCACTGGAGATGAAAGAATTTTGGGCAGGCATTTTATTACTACATAGATTTTCAAAATCATCTGAACATTGACACAATGTGCCTTCCTGATAGGTTCCTGACGTGTGTGTGTGTGTGTGTGTGTGTGTGTGTGTGTGTTGGGGGGTCCTACTGTGTCCCTCCCTCAGGAGTAGCTGTTCAATTCAAAGCAAACAGCTGAAAAAAATCGAAACTTTCAGAACCAATTAGATTGCTTAGCAATATTTTTTCTTCTTTCTTAAGCTACCTTCGTGTAATTCTCCTGTCACAAACTGACCTTACACGATAACTTGAAAGTTGAAAATATGCTTTTCGATGTTTTCAATGCCTTTTGTTCTTTCTCTTAATAAGCAGATCATTTCTGCTCACTTAAAATTGGAATTGCAGGAATCTCATTCCTTGTATGGTTATAGAACCCAGAGGTTACTAATGATGCGAGATTCATAGGGACTATACCCACCGTTTACCTCGTAAAATTTTTAAGTCATTTTCAGATTTGGGTCATGAAATTATTTTATTCTTCGAAAGCAAAACTATTATTGGGTTCATTCAGTGAACTTCTTAGATTTTTTAATTCTTTGTATGTTCAGCGATTTCTTCGACCCACCAGTAACTTTCCCAATTAACAAAAAAATAGTTTACACAGGCCGCTTTTTGTTCGGAATTTACAAGCAGTTTAGCCACACATGATTAGCAACATTAAGGAGGGAATGGTGGAGGGGTTCTCCTATTGAAAGAATCCACAGACCGCGGGGGTCCCCAATACCCAAATGAGGCAACAATGAACGATCCGCAAAACTCAGAAACGTTCCTGTAAGTTACCGACGCCTGCTCTGATTTCAGCTTGCAGGAGCACGCCCGCTCGGCTGCCTTTGTGGCCGTGGGATAGAATGATTCAGGGAAGAGGGTCCCACTGGGGACGCCTGAGATGAGAGTGGGCGACTGTCACCAGCCATCACCACGTACAGGAGTAAACGCTCCGCATCCCGTCTCTAGGGTAACTCTGCAATCCGACACCTAGGCTCAAAATACCGCATTTCAAACCACCGCACTCAAAAAGAGACGCATCACTGCACAGCCGCGGGGACTCCGAGGCTTCCCAGACACCGCCACCCCTTGGGTGCCTAATGCGACGGGGGAGACGCCCTCTCCCCAGGACCCGGGTCCGAGGCTGGTCAACGGGAAATTGCCCAGCCTCGGCTCCGTAGCACCGAGGGTTGCTGGGCGCAACCCGTAGTGCCGGGACTTCGCTCTCGGCACGTGGCAGCAGTGATTGTCCCGGTGCGGTATCCCTCCGCGCCCCCGCCTCAGTCTCCCTCTCCCTTCCCGGGACCCTCTGAGTCGGGGCGCCGCGGAAGGATCGCACGCACGCGCGCGCGCGCACGTCCCTCCGTGGCCGCGGAGAACTGGGGGCGCAGCGGTGGAAAGCAATCGCCGCCACTACTGCTGCCCGCTCTGCTGCTCCTCAGCCTTCCGGAGCTGGTTAGTCAGCTTCGCGGCTGCGGGCTAGCAGCCGGGTCCCCACGCTCTGAGACTTGTCCCTCACCGCGGTCCCCGCGTCCTCCCACCTCAGCTCCTCGGGGAGGGGGGCGGTCGGTGCCTGCGCAGAGCCGCCTCCTCCCCGCCCCCGCCCCGCCTCCCCCCCCCCTCCGCCGCCGCCCGCTACAGCCGCCGCCGCTGCGCCTGCTGCTCCTCGCCGTCCCCGCTGCAGTGCGAAGGGCTCGAAGATGGCCGGTTGGCAGAGCTACGTGGATAACCTGATGTGCGATGGCTGCTGCCAGGAGGCCGCCATTGTCGGCTACTGCGACGCCAAATACGTCTGGGCAGCCACGGCTGGGGGCGTCTTCCAGAGCATTACGGTGAGGAACGGGGGCGGCGCGGGTTCCCGTCCCCGGACAGGAGCGGTGCCGGCCGGCTGTGGGGGCACCGCAGCGCGGGCCCGGGGCACAGAGAGCCGCGCCGGCAGGTGTGCCAGGCGGCCGGTGCCGAGGATGCGGCTGCCAGGCTGGCCGAGAGGCCGAGGCCCGGGGACGCCCCCTTGCTCTGGGCTCCGCTGACAGGCGGGGGCGGCGGCCGGGGCTCCCTGCGTTCACAGAGCTGGTCCGAATGAAGCTGGGGGAGGGGGCACGCACCAGCTGGGGCGGGTGGGGGCATCTTTTTCCCCCTCGTGTGTCTGCTTTTGGTACCCTGGAAGCCCTGAGGTTAGCTTTGCCTGTCCCGGGATGGAAGCGGAGGGCCTGAGGCTCCGGACCGGGCGGGGGGTCCTCTGGCGGCGGTCGTGGCTGCCGCTCGCCCCGCTTACAGACGGCGCGCCTCCCGCGCCACGGGCAGTGGGAGGCGGCGGCTGCCCGGCCCTGGTGATCCTCGCGGCGACTTTGCGTAGGTTTGCCGGTGCTCAGGCCTGTGGGGCTTCCGAGGAATGTGCGCCGACAACGTAGGTGAATTCGTGAATCTCGACTTCAGCTTTGGCTCCATAGGATTTTTTTTTTTAATTCTCCAAGATGGCGAACTGCCATTGATTTCTCTCCTCCTACTATGGAGACTCATCGATATACCGTTATCCCCAATTACGCAACATACCTCCAAAAAAAAAAAAAAAAGGGATGCTTTTATGGGGTTTTCAGTAATCTGTGAACACCAAAGGGACACTTCACTTCTCCAAGTCCCTCCCTCTTTCGTGATGGTAGTAAGGAACTAATGCAGATTTATGCTTCACAGTGCCTGATTTTGTGACTTGCTGGTTTTAACTTGGTGGCCACATGGGTGGGGAATAATTGTCCGTAAGCCTTCAGTGCTACTTTATTGTTTTGTCTCTGCAAGAGGCTTTTTTAAAAATTGTGACGAATGTGTCAAATATAAGACCATTCCCTTAATTTCTCAGCTTCACGCTCTCTTTTCTATCAAATGCCAAAATTCATGCCCCCTGTTAAGGTGCTAAGTACTACTAAACATGGTTTGAGATCTGACTGTGTAGAACTCAATTCCTGATGCTAGTACTATAAGGTCTCCCATAACCGCAGGGGACTACAGTTCTTACAGAGAATTGGCATCTGGTGATCAACTTTTTTCCTTCAGTCCCCTTCTTTTTTGTGTGAGTTCTCACTGTCTGGCTGGGAAGATTGCAGGAGTGTGCTTAGGAATGGCTGGGGCCTGCTATGACTCTGCAGTTCTGATGGGGGCGACGCCTTCCTTCATATTCATGGAATGTTGGAATGCACGTTTTCTCCTTTCCGGTTCTGGTAGCTACCTCAGTTTCTTTCCAAAGCCCCCCCTCCATATTCTCTGTTCTTTTACCATGGCCTGCTGCGATACTACCGAAAGAACCCTCTTTGCATTTGCTGAAATGAAAGCTGATTACTGACGTGGGAGGGGAAGGGAAGTTGGAGAGAAAAAGGAGTAGTGGCTGGAAAAATAGGAGGGAAATATGAATTTGGGATAGCACTGAGGTCTAGGGTTTTTGAAGTTCATGCTGTGGGGAGATGTCAAGCCATTTGCAGAGTAGCAGAGTAAATGTGAACAGAGAGACCTACCAAGCATGAAAACTTTCAAACAACTTTAAATTCAATGCAACATGACTGACTGTAATGTAACTGAATATGATAGACAAGTTGTTGCTGTTAGTTTATAGGTGAGTCTTTACCATTACATAAGCACTTCACGTTCCACCTGACTTGGTACAGTTTATAAATAACTGTTTTTGTAGTTTCTCTAATGTCAACTACCAACTGTTTCAATATTATTAACTAATTTGGTCTTTAGTTAGCAGACTACAGTGTGAACTTCGAAATCTAATTAACTAATATAAAACATGTAATCATGTAGGAGTAAGTGATTCTTTTGAAAAGACTAAAACTTTATATTATTGAAATGTTGATGTCTTGCGCTAGTAGTGAAAACTTGGCACACAGTCTTTCCTGTTATATTGATTGAAGGAATTAACTATAACTTGATTTTTTTCCTTTTTCTTTTTTTGGGGGGCAGCCAGTAGAAATAGATATGATTGTAGGAAAAGACCGGGAAGGTTTCTTTACCAACGGTTTGACTCTTGGAGCAAAGAAGTGCTCAGTGATCAGAGATAGTCTATATGTCGATGGTGACTGCACAATGGACATCCGGACAAAGAGTCAAGGTGGGGAGCCAACATACAACGTTGCAGTGGGCAGAGCTGGGAGAGGTAAGCTGGGCAGTCTTTTAGTTAAAAGTTGCATGCCACATTACAACTTGTTAAGCGGTTTCTTTAACATTTTGAATAAAAGTGTTAGTCCATAATGGCTATTAAGGTGGTTTTTGTGAACTGCCCAGCACTGAAGGGAGGCACTGCTTTAAATTTACTTACTGTACAGCAGCTACATATACAGTACAGCCTAGCCTCTGAGATTCTGGCTTTATTGTAAAATAGAATATTCATATCTACTCTCCAGTTTTGGCTTTAGTAATTGAAAATCTAAAATTGCCCCTTAAACTGCTTGACGTGTCCAATGGTAATCTTAGGGTGTATCCAGATTGTTAATTGTTTGGTTACTTTAGTCCCTTTATGACAGTAAGTTTATCTTTGACCTTTGGGTCTCTTCCTTTTCTTTTTTGCTTATATTTTAATCTTTCATTGCTCAGCATAAAAATGGAAAAATTAACATTGACTCATTTTTTTTCTGTTAGGAACATTGCTGGGGAAGAGAGAAATGATTAGAATAAGGGTTTTGGAGTAAGTTGTCCCTTTATTAAAATACTTTCAAAGACTAAGTGTTTGTGATTTAGACTTGAAAAATAGGAAATTGTATTTCATTTATACAGTTGATCAAGAAATTGTGGTGTTTCCTGACTGTTGTCAACATTGCAGAAAATCTTACTGCATTGAATATGCCTCACTACTTTTTCAAAACTTTCAAAATTGAGGTTTGATATGACATTTACTTAATTTATAAGTATATTTAAATGTACTAACTTGTGTAAATATTTTGTGAATAAAGAGGGTTTTTGTCGTCTCGTACAGCAGACTTGGCACATATAAGTAAAACCAGATCTACTGTGTGAAGGAACTTGAAGCTTCTCTGAGCCGTAATTTACTGTAATGATCCTAACTCCTTGTGATTGTCCTAATGGTTACTCTTACTCTAATGTGAATTGATGAGTATGAGAATTGCTTTATAGGAAAATTAGGTGGTAGAAATAATAGACAAATCTCTTTAAATATCAGCAGAGCTCAGATAAATGTTAAAAAGCATCAACTGTGCGACAGGAAACCAGAATGAGATTTCCATACCATATAGTGCTGCTGACATCTAGTGGCAGTGAATATAAAATCTGACATACATATATTTTGGGGATAGATCTTTGAACTGCATCATAGAAGAACCTATCGTTGGAAATAGTAAATCTATTTCAGGCTTTTACACTCAATTAAAAACAAAGCTAGATAGCCCTGGCTGGTGTAGCTCAGTGGATTGAGTGCAGGCCTGCGAACCAAAAGATCGCTGTTCGATTCCCAGTCAGGGCACATGCCTGGATTGCAGGCCAGTTCCTAGCAGGGGCCAGTTCCCAGCAGGGGACACATGAGAAGCAACCATACATTGATATTTCTCTCTCTCATTCCCTTCCCTTCTCAAAATAAATAAAATTTTTTAAAAAAGAAAATCACTTTAAAAAAAGGCTAGAACAGTAAGGACATCCGCTAATCATAACACTTAAGTACTTTTAATTTGGCCTTTCCTGAATAGCACTGATAATGCTATTTGAAAATTTGGTCTTGGTTTCCCTTTGGAAATAATAGACACATTTAGCCTTACTGGTAAGACTTAATAGTTTATACTTAAATCTGTTAAATTGGAGAATTTTTTAAAAGTAATCACTTAAGGTTTTTAAGTTTATATTTTGGGGGCCAGTCTAATAAGTATGTCATACTAACCAGACGTTTTTGCCCTAGAATGGAAGATAAATGATCACACTTCTCCCCCTTCACCTCACAACCTAGCTAGGGTAAAGATATTTTTATAGAGCACTGCAGCTGCATTGATTGGACTTTCCAGATGCAGTTAATAGTTTCAGTTTTTCACATATAATTACATTGAAAATTCTCCTTTTTAGAGACCTAGTTGGCTTCAGTGCTTGACAGTTCATGGAAAACTAACTTAATGTTAACTTATTAATCGGGGTTCTGTCTGCTAAAACTTATGTGACTTTTCTTGATTAACACTTCTTTTGAAACACTTTTCTTCTTTCTCTTTCAGTCTTGGTCTTTGTAATGGGAAAAGAAGGGGTCCATGGAGGCGGATTGAATAAGAAGGCATACTCAATGGCAAAATACTTGAGAGACTCTGGGTTCTAGCTGCTAGGCAGACTGTTAAGTATTAGGGGAAAATTGCTCTTAAACTTTCCTAGCTGTAAGCTTGAGTCTTAATTCTGGAAATTTTATTAGCAATGCAGGGTGATGGGGTATGAACCTGTGTCTCCTTTGTATCCCTCTGTTGGTGGGGAAAGGTATCTTTCTTTTTGCCCTCCCCCCATTAAATAATTCTGTTCACTTTGTTTTGTTTCCTTGTGTACTCCAGCATTGGTTATAGTCATGGGAAAGGAAGGTGTCCACGGAGGCACACTTAACAAGAAAGCATATGAACTCGCTTTATACCTGAGGCGGTCTGATGTGTAAGCAGCCTCTCCCCATCTACCTAGCAACTGTCTTCATCACCACCCCAATTATAGTCACAGTGCTACCAGATTATATGGTAGCTAATTTTTCTTTACCTATTTTCTAATGTCATGATTCCTATTTGCCCAATGGATCATTTGTATGTTAACCACTGTATGTAATCAAACCTTATCTGGCAACATAATTGCAGCACAATAATGATTTGCATGATACCTTGAAATTTGGGGGGAGGGGGCATGCCAAGTTGGGCATCACTTTGTTTAGCAATTAATGGGATATTGATTACTAAAATAAGTTAATATAAGCAAGGTGCCGGTGTACAATCTCTAATTTGATCAATGTCTTTTTAGCACTTTGAGCATTTACTTAGGTCATTTAGTCTTCCTTTTGTAGCGCATGGTTGGGAGGAAAAAGTGCATGCATCTTTCCTTCACTCCTCTCTTTTTCACCCCCTCCCTTTGCACATAAGGTATTTCTTTTGCTTCCATCTTATTTTATGCAGTGCCTGGTTTATTTAACCAAATAATAATCCCTTTTGTTGAAGAACTATTGAGAGCTGCAGTAGTTTGCTTTTAGTATTATTGTTGCACGTGAGTAGACAAACCTTTTTTCATAGTGTCTACAGGACATATGAAGAGTGCAACTGCAAAACGAGTAAAAGGAACTTCCTCCCATGACCTCACAGTAACTATACTGATTGAATCCCCAGGGACATTCCATCATCACAATAGATTCGGTTTTTGTTCCTATCCTTTTCTTTGCACACCAACTCTACTCTGTAGTAAAATTGTAAAAGGCTGCCATTATGGACATTAGGTATCCCAACATAACCATCTGGAGTGTGTCCAGTTTGTTCTTCATAGGACCAATTTTTATTTGCAGCTTAAGTTTTTATATGAAGTTGCATTATTGTGGACTTGGCTGTCTTGTGATGAATTTTTTTCATATGTATTCTGTGCCATACTGTTGTTAAAATGAACTGTTGCTATTGTGAGATGGATTTTAACTGACCTATTAAAGGTTTCTTTTGAATGGCACTACTTTAGGGACATTCTAGTATTTGCTTCTATTGTTTGGGCCTTGTGGATAATGTACAGATTTAAAAACAAATCTTGTTGCTGATTTGTCCTTTTCTTTCCCTGCACTTTGTTACATCTGGGATACAGTCTAACTCATCTGATTTAATATGCATTTAAAAAAATGCCATAACTATTAAACACCTTGTTTACAGACAGATGAAATAAATTTATTCCAACCAAATACTCTAGACTCCTGTTGTTTATATAAATCGTTGGCTTACTATTACACTTGATTTCTGACACAATGGGAATATATAGAATAAGCCAAACTCTGCTGCAGGCATAAAATCATCTTAAAAAATTCAGCTGCTGGCCTACTCCAGTTCCTGCAGTATTTTTTGTAAATAAAATGAGAATTTTGGTTATAAAGTAAATAAAAGGGAATTTCTTTTTAATGGGTTTTGTTCTACTAAAATGGCTTCTAGTCATCTCAGGCTTATTTACAGGCTTATGAGAGGAAGATTAATGTATCCACTAGGATGTAAATACAGTCATACCTTGGTGTTCATTGGTTTCAGAACTTGTCAAACCCTGTACGCATTTCATTTTGATGAGAAAAAAGTGTTTTGGGACTCGTCGCACTTGCTAGAATTTGTGTGAGTCATGATGCTACCCTGCTAGAGAAAATGCTTCATCCTTTGGTACTTCTGGGTTTCAGCACTTGTCACAAGTTCCAGAATGAATTAACAGCAAGTACCAAGGTACCACTGCAGTGCTGTTCTTTTGTTGCTAATCACTAAATGTGAAATGTGAGCAGTAGGGGGCCCAGTACCAACAAAGGTTTTTACATTGTGGATTCTTCTGGGTTGACAGTCCATCATGACTTTAGGCTATGTTGGCAGGATGAAGTCAGCCACTTGGGACTTTCACAGAAGAGAAGACATTCCTTGGGCAGCATATAAAATAATTTGGATATTCTTGCAGTTTCTGGCTTTGGAGTGACATGTTAACTATAGCTATGTAAATCAAGTTAATCCCAGAGGTCAGAAGGTCCCTGAGATATATTGAAGTTTAGCAAATATGTTACTTTAAGACTATTCAGATAAATCATTACCATGAACTATCAAGCAGAAGTTCAGAGCAGGGGTGCTCAAAAGTTGGTTGGTCTAAGCGAAACTGGATCTGGTTGTAATGCAGATTCTGGGCTTTGGAGTTCCACCCTGGAGGTGGAGATTCCATAAGCCTAGAAGATCCTTTAGAAACAATTGGCAGGTCACTCTGAATCACTTTTAAGCAGCCCGTGTGTTACCCTTTGAGAAACAGTGCATTATGGAATTGAGAATTAATCTCTTTGCCTTTACTTAAATTACTGTGCATAACTAAAAGTTTTTGCTTTGGCAGTGTTGTCAGGCAGTACTTCTGCATTTGTTTGTACAGGGATTTGGAAATTTGGAAGATAGGGATTTGGGGCTACTTTGGTAGCTGGGTGGGCCTACCTTAGAAATTGTAAAACAAGAATAAACCTCAACTTCCAAACCCATTAAGATCCCTGTTAGGAACAAAGGTTGGTGAAATGAAAATTTGGTGATTGGATTGTAATGGTTTGATATGTTACGGTAATATGCATTCACACTCTTCTTGTAAAGAATTGTTAGGGTAACTAGAAAGCAGCAACCAGAATTGTGAAATCTGTAATGAATGAACCTGTAAGTAGGTGAGGAAGAGTGTGTTGAGGGTGTGCATATATGAGTAGAAGTTGGTAGCGGGCAGTTGTTATCATTAAAATAGTAAATATTGAAACTAGTCATGGTCCCCTACCCATTCCATTAGAAAAACACTTGGGATAACACTTGGGCATGTATGCTTTGTGCTTAGTTCTAGGAATTTAACCTAAGGAAATGGAGCTATGCAAATTCATACACCAGAATGTCCATCATAATACAGCATTGCTTGTAATAAATTTGGAAAACGACAAAATTTAATTTTCAAGGTTATGGGTTGCATAATGGTTGTCCAGAGGATAAAATAGTCATCGAAGAGTGACACAAGAAAATGCTCACTAATGAATGTAAAATATAAGAGGATATAAGCAGATGTTAGTACAGTATAACCATATTTTGCTGTGTATAATGCACTTTTTTGCCCAAATTTTTAAGGGGAAAATAAGGATTTGCATTATACCTGGGTATAATGATTACATACCATGGGTATAATAGGCAGAAGAACCCTGTGTATAATGTGCACAAAAATGGTGTGCATTGTACATGGGAGCACATTTATACATGGTGAAATACAGTAAATACAATGTACAATATATACATGTATTTTACATATGTATTTCTGAAGGTAAAATATCAAGATAAATTTATTTCCAGGGTAAGTTTTCAGATGACTGTCCTTTTACAGCAGAAAAAACTTTAATTATAAAGATACTGAATAGAAATTGGACTTCAGTTTTATTTAATGTCCCAGTTATACCATGAAGAAACTTAGATAAAAGATTTCAAGTGAAGATTAGGACTAGCCCAATCGTAGACAGTGCTATTTAAGACACTTCATAAATTTTACAACTAAAACTAACAGCATGGAGTTTTTTTAAAAAGTAATTTTTACTTCAGAAAAACTTCTAACTTGAACCAGGTTCTTTGATCTGAACCGTGGATTAAGAACTGAAGGAAACAGTATCTCATATATATCATAGTGACTTTCCCCTGTTTAAAAAAGTGTTTTAGGTATGATGTTTTTATTTAAAAACTATGAGAGCTATTACATTATCATATATTTTTGTGCCAGGGATTAAGTTCAATGTTTTGTCCTCACACCATACCTTAGGTTAAATGAAATACAAATGACCAAATTCCAAAGCTCTGCTAACTATATATAGTAAATGACTGTGCTGTTTTTCATGCCTTTGTTTTATTTTTAAAAGATGGAAATGAGGTGGTATCAGATAGTAGACAATTTAACTTTTTTTTTTTAAGATTTTATTTTTTGAGAGAGGGGACGGGAAGAGAAAGAGGGAGGGAAACATTGATGTGCAAGAGCTACATGGATCCATTGCCTCTTGTGCCCCCAACTGGGGACCTGGCCTGCAACCCAGGCACGTGCCCTGACTGGGAATTAAACCAGTGACCCTTTTGGTTTGCAGGCCAGCACTAAATCCACTGAGTTACACCAATCAGGGCTGAACTTTTATTTTCATAAGCAGCAATAACTATTTTTTGGTTATTTATAAGAATTTTTCTAAAAAGCAGTTCAGAAAATGAAATTCCCTCTAATAGTGTTACATTTCTTTTAAAATTAAATTTTTTCTTATAACAAAGGCTTATCTCCCTAGTGTACTCACTATTTTCTAATATGCTTTCATTAACAATTTACCATGTCAGTGCAGATATATACTTTATCTTTTCAAGGCTGTGTAGCAATCTACTGTAAAGATGTACTATAATTACAGTAGGGTGCCAAAATGTACACTATTGTTGGAATTATTTTGGCTGCAGTTTTAACTTTTGGGAGAATTACCTAGTTGCTTCTGAGTAGTTAGTTACCTTGTATAAAATTCTAAGCTGATGAGTATTTATCTGATCTAAACTACCTTAATTGTTACATCTTTATAGCACTGCATAGAAAAATAAGGCCAATGTTGGGTATTATAGTACAACAAATAAAGTTTTTGAAGTAGAAAAATGTGTTTATTAACATTCAAACTCCCTTCGTACAAGGCCATATAAAAATTCTTAGCATTTTGATTATACCTTAAGTCTATATTTTGTATGTAGTTACAATGATGTATAATATAATTTAGCTTTTCATAATACATTGTTTAAATAGATCATTAGTTCTGTTAAACATAAGCAATTATTTTCAAATCCAATATTTGAACAATTTCCTCTGTACATAATGTAGCAGGGCTAATAATTAGCATAAGATGCTCTTTATTAAGAGGTATATGATCTGTGTGTTAAAAGTTGAAGTTTGGTATTTTTGTGTAGCACTTCCTTTTTGCTTTGATCACAACACAAAACCCTGTAAGGATACTGAAATTCAGTAACTTAAGTACAGCAACATATTACTTTATCTGATGAATCAATTTCATACATAATACTATATAGTATTAGAAACCTTAAAACTTGAAATCTGCACCAATACAGACTGTTCCCTTCAGAGTAAGAAGACTACTTGGAATAGAAAGGAGAAAGATGGCTTTGAGTTTGTGATGCCAACAGGAGGAAAAATGCTAAATTACCTTGTTGCCTCTCCCTAATGATGGCAATTTAGGGTAATAGTCAGATCAAACATTCCACCTCAACAACTCTAGGTGACTTTATGGAGATGGAAGTTGGCTTAGCTCATGCTAGGTGGCCACAGCACTGACCTTGTGTGTAAAACACAAAATTTGCATACTGTGACCTAGGTCTTAATTGCAAGCTATACTGAAAAAAAATTAATGTTTTGGCTATATTTCATTCCAAAATAAGAGCTGACTTAATGCTTGAGTTACAGCAACAGTCTGTTAATACTTATTAGTAAAATGAAGTACAGTCCAGATAAACACTAGATTTTTTTTAAAAAATGGTTTCAGTAAGATTAAAGTGTAGAATACTAAAAATAAGTTATTTCTACAGAAATCTGTAAAGGGAGCAAAAAAAATCAAATTATATTCCTAAATAAACATTTTGAAGGGAATTAACCCAGTCAGCCCCTGATTGGGTCAAACAGTATTTGCTATGTTATAATCCCGTTCACCATTAGACTGCAGTTGAACCACAACACTATGTTCATTAATCTCGTTTTCTGCATCACTACTGTCAGTATCTTCATTGTCATCTTCCTCATAGTCTGAAGATTCTGTCAGGTTTTGATGTGAGTGAGATTCTGACAAAGCGCCAAATGACTGGGTGCTGACAGCAGCCAAAGGTCGAAGTAGAGGGGTGTGTTCTGACACTTCGTTTTCTTGACTACTGTCTGTGTCAGAGTCTGAATCACCTTGAGAAGAAACAACTTTTTGCTTGCAGACTGGGCAGGTTTTTTTGGTTTTAGTTAGCCAAGGATCTACACACTTGCAGTGATAAGCTGTTGAAGCAAAACACACATCTTTAGGTAGTATTCTGGTTGCAAACATTTAAAAAATTTTTACCACGATTATGAATGTTATGAAGTATGTAAATTTTTGTAAATACAACTCCATCCTATAACAATTGAGATAACTAATTAGTACAGGACCTGGCTTAGGGTATGCTAGTAACTATTTTCTGTCTCCCCATCTAATATTGAACCTAAATGTAAATTTACTATGTCAATTCAAAGCAGTATGTGATTATTCATACCATGGGAACAGGGAAGGATTCTGAGCTTATCTCCATCTTCATATTCATCCAAACAAATGGCACATACATCATATTCATCTCCTGTAAGAGGAAATAGTAAATAAAATTTATTTAAAAATGGAGAGAAGTGTTCTTTTCAAACTATTCAAGTTGACTCTTCCTTGGTCAGTTATTTTAAATGCCTTTTGTTTTACCTATATTTAAGGAACACCTTTTGTTTTCTGTCAAATTGAGGATGTACTTCAACTTAGGGAAACTGAAGTTTTAATTTAAATAATTAAACTTTTACCTAAAATAAAAGATGTCAGATTTGTTTACCTTGATTACCTTTGCAAAAGATTTTAGTAAAAATAATTCCATTAGTTCTATATAACTGTTCTGAAATATTTTATGCCACAGACACAAAATTCCACTATTTAGATTTCTTAAAGTCTCTCAAGTAAAAATGGAAACATGTAATATACTAATTTTTAAAAATATATACTGGTGAATAAAAACACTTGGAATGAGACACATTGAGCTTTGAATCTCTGTTCCATCATTTGCCAGCTTTGTGGTGCCTGGAAAGTTACTTAGCCTTTGACATTCAGTTCTTTTGTCTGGGGAAAGATTCCATCTACTTTGCAGGGTTGTGAAGATGAAATGAGATAATACAAGGAAAGGGATAGGCATATAGGTGTTCACTGAATGGTATTTATATTAATGTTAATGCCCCTTTGTAATTTCTTACTGTTGAACTTACCACCTTTAAGTCATGAACATTTTATTCATAGCTCTTTCTGGAATTCAAGAGGAATGCTTTTTAAGGAACTGGCACTCATGTCACATGACACATAGTCTTGAGTCAGTAGTGGTTTTTTATGTAGTGGCAATAACCATTGTGACTGTTTTCACCTCCTTACAAAAAGCTAAATTCAGTGGCCACCTCACACACATGGTAACAACCTTGAGAGGCATATTAGAAATAAAGCCCATCTCTGCATAACATCAGTGGGGACACCAGAAGGAGCAGATAATAAGCAAGGGATTGAGAACCTATCTGAAGAAATGACTGAAAACTTCCCTAATCTGGAGAAGGAAAAAGACACACATGTCCAGGAAGTGCAGACAGTTCCAAACAACATAGACCCAAAGAGGCCCAACCAAGACACATGATAATTAAAATGGCAAAGCTTAAGACAATGAGAGAATCTTTAAAGCCACAAGAGAAAAGCAGTTACCTACAAGGGAGGTCCCATAAGACTCATCTGATTTCTCAACAGAAACATTTCAAGCCAGAAGGGATTGGCATGAATTATTCAAGGTGATGAAAAGCAAGGACCTACAGCCAAGGCTACTTTACGTAGCAAGGCTATCATTTAAAGTTGAAGGAGAGCCCTAGTTGGTGTGACTCAGTGGATTGAGCACTGGCCTGTAAGTCACAGGATCATCAGTTCAATTCCTTGTGCACAGTCCTGGATTGCAGTCCTAGTGCAGGAAGCAACCAGCCGATGTTTCTCTTGCACACTGATCTTTTTCTTTCCCTCTTTCTCCTTCCCCTGTCTCTAAAAGTAAATAAACAAAATCTTTAAAAATAAATAAATTTGAAGGAGAAATAAAGAGCTTCCCAGACCAAAAAAAGAAGCTGAAGGAGTTTGTTACCACCAAACCGGTATTGCTACAAATTTTAGAGGGCTTGCTTTAAGAAGAAAGAGGAAGAATTAAAAAAAATAAAATGGCAATAAATACTATCAATAAACACTTTGTGTGTAAATGGCTTAAATGCTCCAATCAAAAGACAGGGTAGCTGAATGGCTTAGAAAACAAGACCCATATATATGTTATATCCAAGAGACCCACCTCAGAACAAAATACAGACTTAAAAGGGATAGAAAAAGATACTTTGTGCAAATGGAAAAGGAAAAAAAGCTGGGGTGGCAATACTTATATCCAACAAAATAGACTAAAGCTAAGGCCATAGTAAGAGACAAACAGGACACTACATAATAATAAAAGGAACAACCAAACGAGAAAATAAAGCCCTAGTACATATTTATGTACTCAACATATAAGCACATAAATATGTAAAGTAAACATTGATGGTCATAAAAGAAAAGACTGACAGACATACAGTCATAGTAGGGGATTTCAATGGATGGATCTAACAGACAAAATTCGCAAGAAAATGGCAGCCTTTAACACATGAAGTCAGATGGATTTAACTGATACCTTTAGAGTATTTCACCCCAAAGCAGTACAATATGTATTCTTTTCAGGCACACATAGAATATTTTCTAGGATAGGCCACATGTAAGGACACCAAACAAGTCTCAGAAAATTTAAGAAGACTGAAATCATATCAAGCATATTCTCTGACCATAATGCTAGGAAACTAGCAATCAGGAAACTAGAAATCAATCAGGAAGAAAACTGAAAAACACACAAAGACATGGAAGCTAAATGACATGTTATCAAACAATGAATGGTTGGACAATGAACTTAATGAAAAAAAATGAGAACACAACAGCCCCAAATCTGAAACACAGGGAAAGCAATTCTAAGAGGGAAATTCATACACAGCATTTTGGCATATCTCAAGAAATAAGAAAAAAACTCAAAATAATCTAACACTTAAACTTTAAAAAGAACAATGAAGCCCAAAGTGAGTACAAGGAAAGAAATAACAAAAGTCAGAGCAGAATAAACACAGTGTTAAAAAAAAAACAGTCAATGAATCCAAGAGCTGGTTCTTTGAAAACAAGGCTGACAAACCTTTAACTAGACTCATCAAGAAAAAAAGAGAAAGGACCCAAATAAATAACATCAGAAATGAAAGGAGAAATAACAACTGATACCAAGGAAACACAAAAGATTATAACATATGAACAACTATATGTCAACAGACTGAACAACCTGGATAAAGCAGATAAATTCCTAAAAACATACAATCTTCCCAAAATAAATCAGGAAGAATCAGAGAATCTGAATAGACAGATTACACCTAGTCAAACTGCAGTAGTAATCAACTGCCAACAAAAGCTCTGGACCAGGTATCCTTGATGAACACAGATGCTAAAATCCCCAACAAAATATTATAAAACTAAGCACAGCAATACATCAAAAAGATTATGCACCATAATGAAGTGGGATTTATTCCAGGAATGCGAGATAGGTACAACATTTGCAAATCAATAAATGTGATAAACCACATAGACAAAACAAAGGTTAAAAACCACATGATGCAGGTAACATCAATAGATTAAGGAAAAAAAACATTTGATAAACTCCAGCACCCATTCATGATAAAAACTCTCAGTAAAGTGGGAATAGAGGGAACTAATTTAAACACAATAAAGGTCATAATATATGACAAACCCCACTGCCAGCCTCACACTCAATGGGCTAAAACTACAAGCATTCCCCTTAAGAATGGGAACCTGACAGGGATGTCTGCTTTCACCTCTCTTATTCAACATAGTACTGGAAGTCCTAGTCACAGCAATCAAACAAAAAGAAATAAAATGCACCCAAATTAGAGAGGAAGATATAAACCTATCATTATTTAGGCAGATGACAGGATACTGTACATAGAGAATCCTAAAGATTCCATGAAGAAATTACTACAACTGTTAAATGAATTCAGTAAAGTAGCAGGTTACAAAATTAATAAAGCAGTTGCATTTTTATATGCCAAAATGAACTATAGAAAGGGAAATTAAGAAAACAATCCCATTGACAATTGCTTTAAAAAGAATAAAGTACCTAGGAATAAATTTAACCAAGGATGTAAAAGACCTGTGCTTAGAAAATTGTAAGACACCAAAGAAGGAATATAAAGAAGGCACAAATAAATGGAAACATGTACCATGTTCATGGATAGGAAGAATTGACATCATTAAAATGTCTGTACTACCCAAAGCAATCTATCAATTCAACACAGTTCCTATCAAGATACCAAGGATGTATTTCAATAGGACTAGAACAAATATTTCAAAAATTTACATGGAATCACAAAAGGCCCCGAATAGCAACAGTGATCTTAAAAAGAACAAAGTTTGAGGAATCACACTACCTAATATCAACTATATTATAAGGCCATAGTAATCAAAATAGCATCATACTGGCATAAAAACAGACACATAGATCACTGTAACTGAATAGAGAGCCCGGAAATAAAACCACACTTTTATACTCAATATTTGACAGAGGATGCAAGCACATATAATGGGCTAAAGACAGTTTATTCAGTAAATGGTGTTGGGAAAATTGGACAGAATTGCACAGAAAAGTGAAACAAAGCACCTTCTGATGCCACACACAGGAATATATTCAACGTGGATTAACATTAGGCTTAAATGTTAAGACTCCAAACCATTAAAATCCTATAAGAAAACATAGGCAGTAAAATCTCAGACATTGCTTATAGCAGTGTTTTTTTCCTCATATATCTCCTCAGGCAAGGGAAACAAAAGAAAAAGTAAGCTTTTTAGTTTTGACTACTTCAAACTAAAAAAGTTTTTTGCACAGCAAAGAAAACCATCAACAAACCCATTGAGTGGGAGAACATATTTGCCAATACATCTGATAAGGGATTAATATCCAAAATTCATAAAGAACTTATAAAACTCAACACCAAAAAAATTTCAATTAAAGAATCGGCAAAGGGGCTGAATAGACACTTCTCCACAGAGGACATACAGATGGCCAACAGACATAAAAATGATACTCAATGTCACTAATTATCAGAGAAATGCACATGAAAACCACAATGAGTTGTCACTTCACACCTGTTAAAATGGCCATCATCAATAAATCAACAAACAACATGGTGAAGATGTAGGGAAAGGGGAACCCTAGTGCACTGTTGGTGGGAATGCACACTGGTACAGCCACCGTAGAAAGTTGTACAGAGTTACCTCGAATTAAAAACAGAAGTGCTTTATGACACAGTGATTTTACTTCTAGGGATTTACCCGAAGAAACACAGAACACTAATTTGAAAGAATATAAGTACCCTTATGTTTGTTGCAGCATTATTTACAATAGCCAAGATTTGGAAGCAGCCTGTGTCCATCGGTAGGTAAGTGGATAAAACAACTATG